AAGCTTTATCATAAGAGAGAGGTAGAAAAGCAATGGCAGTGTCATTAAGGTGCAAATCATTATTTTCCAATAAAATGTTTACCAGCCTTCTCGTCTGAGGCTCTACCTTGCTAATTATTATGTAACCATGGCCTGTAATAGCACCGTGTCTGTGGATCTGGCCAATATTCTGGCCTGTCATGACTGACAGCCTTAACTAATTTTTATCTTATGCAGCTAATTTCATTTCATCATTAGAGCCACAAATACAAGAGGGAAACCATGATGATTCAATTACTTTTCAGCTGATAATTTTTACCATTTAGTTGGAGACTCAAGTTAAATCAGCCTCTCCAATGGTCCATTTAGTGTTACAGAAATCAGCCTTTAAAAAATGAATTTCATCATACAATAGGATTTCTCTATCACCACAGTTATCTCATAGTTGTTTGGTTTTTTTAACCTGAAACATAAAATACCAGAATTCTTTTTCACAGAAAAAAGAGAGGCTAAAGAAAAATTTGTTTTATAGCAAATAACTACAAGGAAGGTGATATCTGGAAATTGTGATACTTTGTTATCCTGTTAGGTTATCTCTCCTGGGCAGGACATCGTTTTCAATTATATTCAAACTGAGAATTGTCAGTTATATCACATCAACTGTAGCTGTAGCAACTGGGAAGAAGTTAGTACAGATATTCATACTCTTAAATAATTATGATGAGTAATTTTAAGAAGCGTGAAAGATAGGGTTTAATGGACAAAAAATCACTCACAGGCCAGATTACAAGGGAATGCAAAATCTATATTTAAGAAACTAGGCAAAATTCATTTGGGGATGATTTGATTTAGGCAAATGCCAGCTACTAAAATGAGAGAAGCAAGTATGAAAAATAAATAAAAAGAGGAGAATGAAGGAAAGGGGATACAAGTTAAATGAGAGAAAGTTAATGAATAAAGTTAAATGAGATAAAGCCTGGCTTTTGGGAAATGCAAGAATTACCCCCTTAGCATGTGTGGGTTTCTGTGTTTATTAAAGGTATCACACCAGTAAAGGTGATAATTCTCTTTTGTAAATCTTTAATGATGTAGAGTCCATTGTGAGGCCAACTGGTTTGTAGTGAAGTACAGGATGAAATGAAAATTATGCAAGTAAATTGCAAAGATATGGAAAGAATATTTGTTATGTTCATTCTGGACATATCCTTCTAAATTACTCTGGGAGAAAAGGGATAAAAAGAAGAACAAAATAGGTGCCTGGGTGGCTCAGTTGCTTAAGCATCGGACTCTTGATTTTGGCTCAGGTCATGATCTCAGGGTCCTAGTATCGGGCCCCATGTGGGATTCCATGCTCAGCAGGAAGAGATTCTCTTTATCTCCCTCTCCCTCTGGCCCCCCCGTTTTCCCTCTCTCTCAAATAAATAAATAAATCTTTAAAAAAAGTTATTACTAATAAACATGAATAAAAAAAGCAGCTCATAAAGCAAGATACAGAAGGCCTTATAATTATGTAGGGTGCTGAGTCAGAAATAGTATAGTTTTAATGAAATTAAATGAAGAAAGATTTGTTTCATAAAATGCCATGATCTATCAACATTGGCATTAATGTATCCAAAAAGAACATTCTAGAGAAGAATATGTGGCATTCAGGGAAACAGGTCTAGATTGCAAGTTCAATTAGATAAAAGAATGTTTTACATTAATGTGAAAAGTGTATTTTTAGTATCCTAAGGAGATAAAATTTGGGGATTACTGCTATATTATTTAAACCAGAAGTGGTGATATAATCATAATAAAATGGCAGGAGGTAGTAAGAACTCAAATACTGACTATTTTCAAGCACTCTGTCATTCCATCTTTATATAAACTATGTGTGTTTGCTCCTGTTACTAAGGCTATTTTATGTTTGAGGAAACTAAAGTGTAGTGAGACCATCTGGCATGAAAATAGCCACAGAGCTCCCAAGTGACTAGAGCTTGACCTTAGGTCTCAAGTTCTTAATCTCTATGTGCTATTCATTTGCTTGTGACCCATTATCTCACCTATCCTTCATAAAATTATTGATTTTGGACTGAAATATAAATTTTTCAGCTTATTTTTTTAACCAAGCTAAGTATAATTTAGATCTGCACATACACATTAAGGTAAGTAAGTGTAGATGATGTCTAAATGTATCTGGATGAAAAGTCCAATTCCTATTATATATTCAATATCTAATATTGAAATAGTGCCTATGACATGTATACCTCAAGGATGCAGATAACCTTTTCAGCATTTAAGGAGCTTAAAATATAATTTCGATTGTGAAAATGAAAAACTACAACATTGATATTCTTTTTTTTTTTAAAGATTTTATTTATTTATTTGACAGAGACACACACACAGCTAGAGAGGGAACACAAGCCGGGGGAGCGGCAGGCAGAGGGGAAGGGAGAAGCAGGCTCCCCGCTGAGCAGGGAGCCCGATGCGGGGCTCGATCCCCGGACCCTGGGACCATGACCTGAGCCAAAGGCAGACGCTTAATGACTGAGCCACCCAGGTGCCCCTAATTGTGCTACTTTGGCTTTTAAAAAATAGTGCTTATTTGGCTTCCCATCATAAATAAGGTGGGAAAAGTGTATCACCATGAACAAAGGATAGGATAAAACATTTCAGTCAGGGCCCCTGGGTGGCTCAATCGTTAAGCGTCTGCTTTCGGCTCAGGTCATGATCCCAGGGTCCTGGGATCAAGCCCCACATCGGGCTCCCTGCTCGGCGGGGGGCCTACTTCTCCCTCTCCCCCTCCCCCTGCTGTGTTCCTGCTCTCACTCTCTCTCTGTGTCAAATAAAGAAAACCTTTAAAAAAAAAAAAAACCTTCAGTCAGTCACTCTTTTATTCTTTTATAAAGTCACTTAAACCAAGCCACTGGAAACTATAAACACTTTTAATTCTTAACCTGTTACCTTTAAAGTATGACCCAACACTTCATTATATTTCTAAAACTTAGATCCAAATCTGTCAAAGAGTCAAATAAATCTAGATTTTTAGTTGTTTTTTTAAATTGTAAGATGAATATACACTTTGCAATACTGTGCAAACTTAAATATTCATTGGATCTCTGTTTTATAACTAACATTCCTAGTTGCAGCCTGTCTAGGTTTCTGACCCTATATCCAGTCCCCAGCCCTTACCTCAAACAGAACTCTCAAGCTCCTTCTTATGTCTTGGACCATTTAGTTTATTGCTCTTACTTTATTCTCACTGAACAATATACATATTCAGCAGTAAGGTAAATCCATCATCTGGAAAACAGCTGAGTCACTATTTATTATTACATAAACTCATCATGTAGGACCCTTACTCTTCACACTACATATGTGATCATAGTATTCTCATTAAAACCAGGTCTGGGACAGGAGAATGGGTTCTCCATCTGAAAATAGTAAAATTTGCTCTGTATTATTCCTCATTTGTTCATTTATTTGCAAAATACTTTCTGAAGTCTGTTTTGTACAAAGTTAACAATTTAGGGATATAAACATACATTTTAAAAAGCCCCTTTTCTCAAGGAGTTTATGATTGGACATTGGAGGAAAATATACAAATAATTAGATATAAGACATTTGGAATCAAATTAAGGGAAGCAAGAGCTCATTGGAGCACTAAGCACTACTCATTGGGCTAAGTCAATTCTGACTGGTTATCACTCAGGAAGCGATATTTAAATTGAGCTTTGGTGAAAAACCAAAATATTGATAGGTGGTAAAGGAGTACCTAGGGAAGAGAAAAATTATTAAAGGATAGAGGAATAATATACAAAATGGTACAGAGGTAAGAAATAGCTTTCTGTGTCGGCTCAACAGCAAGTAATCTGATGTGCCTGTAATCCCTAATGACATAAGAGATGAATTGAAACACGTGTCTGAAAAAATAACATGTACAAGATCATGGAGGTTCTTGAACTATGAAATAAAAATTTTGGATTGCACCATGTACAGGATGGGAGCTATTGGAATTTATTTAGCAGAGAAATGACATGATATCTTCTTGTCTTATTTTATAGAGTTCACACCTGATGTTTTCTTTGTTTTCAGCACTTTCCATCAGAGCCCTTATAACCTCCATACTTTTATTTGGTAAAGTCCACAAAATAGCTTGCTTCACCTCTATGGAAGGTATTTCATCTCTTCTGTTAAGCTTTGCAGGACTTTTTCTCAGGATAGTTTATATACTTCTCCCATATTCCTTCCTTGTGCTCAACTAACCTTTTTATGATTCTTGCATAATAATAATCTCTTCTTACCTGTCTCTGTCACTTGACTTGAATTCAGGGAGAATTTATGTTTGGTCTTTGTATTTTCAGTGTCCTTCTAGCCTGTTGCCCTCTAAATGCTTAATATATTTTAGTTGGCCAAATGCTGAGAACTATATCTTGGTAAGAAAAATTTGTCATAAGTGATGAAAACACACTGAATAGCCAACCGTGTAAAATCAGAGATAATAACTCAATGGTCACTGTAATGGGAGATCATGAGAGAATAAAAGAAGAAGGTGAAGAGAGACAGGAAACGAAGACACCAGAGAACTAAAGCTGGTTAGATACGACTGAGGCATGGGGACTGATTTGAAGATGACACCAGATAACTTGGAGAAAGATTGTATGTCATCAAGCATGGGGTTGATTTTGCTAAAGGAAGATATGAGTCTCTTTTGGATGATTTTTATTTGATGTATCTGTTGGTGTATCCAATTTTATTAGATATCTGGGAAACATAATCATCCCCACTTAAAACATAAATGTGGGCTACTATAAAAGTCTAAAAGTTATCCCTAAGCAAGTTTGGGCTATAATGAGACCATAACAGTGAGAAAAAAATCAACAGAGAGAAAAATGTGCACCTCAGCCTGTTCCTTAGAAATAATGTCTAATATTTTCCACTAATCTTAAGATTTGGGTGTTCAAAAGTTTGAGTTCCATTTAAATCTTACTCAGCTGATTCCAAGTTAATTTTCTGTTACTTCTCTCTTGCTTTTTCTACAGTATGCTGTCTGGCTAGTCCTCTGGGTTACCTGGAATGTGTTTGTTATCTGCTTCTATTTGGAGGCTGGAGACCTCTCAAAGGTAATTTGCCATCTGATTTGCCTGAGTCATCAGTAGTGTGTTAACAAGCAGAGTTTCACCCTCTCTTGTCACTTAGATGCACCTCAAATGAAGGTAAATTGAAAGATGTCCTCACCTATACATCTGCTTTTCTACCATCAAAGATATGTTTTAGTTTGTCACAAAACGTGCTTTTATTATTTTTAAGCAAAACTAGTATGAAATCATGATCATTACAGTGACCATGCTGTGTATTTTTAAAGCATTGACTGATGAGAGATTTCTGAAGCAGAACAGGAATTTTTTCATTTTGAAAAATTTGAAGGTTTTTGAAGTTACTTAGTTTGCTTATTACTGTCCTAGAGGTTTTCCTGTTTGGACCCAAATAGCAATGCAATAATTCAAACAATTAATGGATTTTAGTTGAATAAAATTGTTACCAGAGGGATATAATTAATTGTATGAATGAATAAAGTCTAGGAAAGACAACATACTTTTTTGCATAGTTTTTTTTTTATTTTGTGCTATCCTCATGTTTGCTTGTGTATGTATATTACTGTTATATTTCTAACAGGAATGCTTTTGCTATTGAAATAATGTAGTTTTTAGATCTCTAAAAACAGCATCCTTCTTCTATTGGAATGCAATTACCAGCAAATAAGCCAAATGAGATAGTTTTTCAAAGTAGTAGTAAATCCTTCTTAAGATACTTGGGAGAGTTGCAAACTTATGCTTCTTCATATTAACTTTTAAAGACAGATTTTAAAATGTTCTATACCCTTTCCTTATTAGAGCACAAAAACCCTGCAAAGATGTTGACATTTTTTAAAACTCAGAGATGATAGCCTGCTTTAAAAGGTAAAAAGAGCTGAAAAGTTGCCAGGAAATACCCTTGTAAGGGCTTTATATTTTAGAGGGTGGGAGATGGGGGTAGCGATAATACACATTTGTAATCTAGCATATAGGAGCTGCACAAAGCACTCTGAGCATTTTCAAGAAAGTTTATTATTTAACTGTGATGTGGCTTTATAACTAGTATAAATAATCTTGATTATTTTGTTGAATGGCAAATGATGAAGGATAAAATAAGAGGTGACATTACGGTATGAGATAGAACCAAAGCTTCTGGAACCTGTGCTTTTATGATCAGATTTTGGGCGCGTCCTCACTGTGGCCTTCTGCAAAATCTGCGCTGGTAGATGGCATTTCTGTGATTCTTGCCAGGCATTGTCTTCCACATTCTTGGCAGCAGGCAATCCTTTCCCGAAGAAACCGTGACCAATGAAAAGAAATTGTTCAGGTGAGCATCAGAAGGACACAGACAAGATATCTGCTTAAAACTCACACCTCCTCTGTCCTGGAAAAGCATACCTGCTTCCCCAGTTGATACATCCCTGCAGTTCTATAATCTACTTTGTTCAAAGAAATTCCATACTAGAATGATTTTTAATGATATTTTTTATTTTAAATAATCACCCTAAAAACTGGAAGGCATGTATTCAGATATATTGCCTGAGTAAAATAATCTAGCAGATCAGAGTTGTAAATTATATATATATATATATATATATATATATAAAGAAGGAGAGAGGGAGATTTGAGCCAAGCTGGCTGCAGAAATGTTCTGTAATTGTGCTCGCTTCACCACGTGATCACTGCAGGCACAGAATAAAGCTTGTGATCTCCTGACCTCCGACATGGACATTGAATCGACAGTGAAGGCACATCCTAAAACATTGTAGTTCAAGACAGTTGCAACCCAAATGACTAAGAATTCTGCTAATGCACATAGGCAGGTAGTGTCTATCCCTTGGAAATGAAGTAGTTAATATTCCCTTTTTCTTTTCATCTTATAAACCAAGGCAAGACTCTACAGAGCACATGAAAATTTAATAATTTCCTTTTAACAAATAATCTAAAGGAAAACCATAAAGGGCAAAGTTATATAGTTATCTGTACTGAATTTTTTCCTCCCTTTGCTACTCAAAAGGTTTGAGAAAGGTGTATTTATACCATTTAATTCTTTAGCTTCTGCAACTGCCTCACATTCTTCAAGTAATGCAGCGCCAGAAGGAAGCAATGGTGATTGAAAAATGTACAGATATATGAAAACTCAAAAATGGGACTCCTGAAACTGTTGATAATACTTAGATTACAGAATATAAACTGTTTTTCCCTCACTCCACCAAAAAAATAAATAAAAAGTTTGACCATAGAAGTGGGCCAGTTTGTTTGAGGCTGAGGGAGAAATACTGGGAAATAAATTCTGTAGTCTTTATAAGTGAAAGAAGTGTGTTTATTTCTATAAAACATTTTGTAAATAGGTGATTTCTTCATAATGGAGATATCTAGGCAAGAAGTGATAAAAAGTGGCCAAATATTAAGGCACGTTTTATCACCTATTAGAGTTCAGAATTTTGTGTTGTCATTTCCCACAGTATCTTCTCTGCTAAACTATATGCCATGTACTTTGGAGCGATCCAGAAATTAGAGTCATTAACCAACCTGGTGTATATATTCAGTGATGAAATGGCTTAATCACAAGAACGTGACACACAGACCTGGCCTGTTTGATCTTCAGTTCCCTTAGTACTTATAGTTATATAGGTAATATATATATTTTGTTCATCAAAAATTCTGTGTAAACCCAACACTATTATTAAACTATCTATTAGTATATTTTAATTATTATTCTCATGAGACCTAAGGGAAAATAAAACTAATCAACCAGAGAAACTGCTTTTTAAGAATTTTGTCTCAGTGAAATTGACAAAGTAATGAGAATTAGTGTAAAACAGTACATAATATGATAGCAACAAATAAACATTTATATTGCATGATAATTATTTCTACCTTATTTACATTAATTATTTGGATACTGGTGTTATAACTAAATATCCTAAAACATCCTACAGTGTGTTACTTCCTGGGTTGATATTTTAATAGATGTTCTGTTAAGAAAACAGAGATGACATTAGTTTGCAACCCAAAGTGTCTGCGAAATATGTAGGCAATTGCCTTTGAACATTAAATGTGACTTGGACTATTGGATTAATAGTCTTGTGAACTCCTCATGTAAATAGTCTTCTTGTTGCGTTGTATTATTGTGGGCAGTTGTGATTCTCTTGCTCACATATCAAATAGAGAGAAATGGGAATTAATCCCAGCTATCAACTGAGTCGACTTATTTTGAAAAGAGAAGAGATCTGCTATTTGTTCTGTAGTCTAGATTTTGAACTTCAAAGTGCATAGCAATTAGAAGGAAAACACATGTAATATGGCAATTCACCTATTAGGTTCAGCACCTGGGAAAATGAAATTTATGAAATAAGTTTTGAATAGTAATACACAGGGGAAATACATAGTGGTCTTCAGGTTATCTGTAAAAATCTGTATCCTATTGGATGTGATACAATTGTAAATTATTCTGAAGCTGAAATTATATTCTAACACTTTTATTTATATGACTATTTTGAGCTCTTAGTTTCTACTTTTGTAATTTATGCAGCAACATTAGAGAATGATGCACCTGTCTTTAGAAATAAATTTACAGAGCCTAAAGGAGTAACAAAGGGTTTGATTTACAGTTCACACAACCCAATTTGTTTGTGTTTAACCCTTTGAGAATCGGGATGCAGATACATGTCTCTCAGTCTTCATTATATTATCAGAAACTTATCTAGTTAAACATAGCCTAAAGCAATTAATGCTGTGTATGTTTCAGAATGAACACATTTAATAGCAACTTTTGGAAAGCGGTGATATTTTAATAATTTTGATAGTCGCTTCTAAGATCTGATATAAATTTTCATTTTAATAATTTGAGATTAAAAAGCCATGTAAGAATGTGGGCTATCTAAGCTTTGGGGAATAAAATTGCACTCTTTCAAATGTAAGAGACAAGAAGAAGATAAAACCTGTCACACACTATAGGCAATAGGAAATAAATCCTTAAAACCAGATGTAAAGTACTGTGTAGAAAAAAAAAATGTACTATTGCAACAATCCCAGTTTTATTCCTTCTATAAAAAAGTTATTCATTTAAAGAGGTATCTGATATTTGGATATTTTCTGCTCAATGATATCAGTGCTTGTATCAAATTTTGCTTTTATGATTTCATACAGAAAAAGATGGTTTGGAGAGAAATCTGCTATAATCCTTTTTAATTCAATTAGCGGTGTTCTTCAAGAAGTAAAAATATCTGTGCAATTATTCATAAAAAAGAACACCTCGGCGTGTGGGTGGCTCAGTTGTTAAGCGTCTGCCTTTGGCTCAGGTCGTGATCCCAGGGTCCTGGGATCGAGCCCCGCGTCGGGCTCCCTGCTCAGTGGGAAGCCTGCTTCTCCCTCTCCCACTCCCCCTGCTGTGTTCCCTCTCTCACTGTGTCTCTCTCTCTGTCAAATAAATAAATAAATTCTTTAAAAAAAAAAAAAAGAACACCACTGATAATTTATTTAAGACTAAATTTAACAAATATAAAGAGGAAAATTGATTGGATTTCTTTATTTTGTTTTTCTAACTGTAAAATGTCTATAGTCTAAGAAAACTTCACTTAACTATTACTAAACTAATAGGAAAATTTTTCATTTCCCAATGAAATGAAAGATTTTGCTTTAGGATGTAGAATAAAAATGTCCTACATGTAATTAAGAATTAAATATAATGTAATCTTGCCCCCCAAATAGAAATAAACCAACGTATTGTAATTTGGTAAAACCATCACTGCCTCTCTTCTCTTGTTTTCTTTAATCGTGTATTGAAATAAACGGCCTATTTTCTTACTTCCTCAGTTCTCTTTGCTTACTTTTTCCACTTCATTTTAATACCCCTAAAGTGAGCAATAGAGTCCTTGAACCTTTCTACTTCTCTGCCTACATTCTTTCACTTGAAAATGCCATGTACTGTCATAACTTAAATTACCATATTTGTACATATATCTACCAGATTTATCTCTTCAGTTCTGACCTTCTTGCTAAGTTAAAGTACCATACCTCCAACTTTCTCTTGGTGTCATGTCAAT